TATACAATATAATATATATGTATGTATTAATTATATAAAAGTTTATATAATTTATAAACTTTTTTTCCGAGCTTATGTAATTGTATCTGATTGTAGTTCCTACGGAAGCGGCAGTATTTCTACAGGAACATTTAAATAATTGGTATTCATTAAAAGCTTATTACAGCGTAAAAGTATTAACAGATTTTCCGATTCAGGTATGTTTCAATGCAGCGTTATAATTTTGTTACTAATTATTTCTTTTAGAGTTGAAATTCTAGCTAAATGTAATATTGTAAATACAATATATTATCATTGGTTTTCAAATCACTTACAAATTTATTTAATTTCTAGATACTTTGCGTCTCACCTTTTCTGTTTATATCATATTATATGACAGGACAGCCAATGGAATATGATAGATTTCTACAAACGTGGAGCGTTTGTCTGTTAATTACGATTATCGGACAAACGTTTGGGATACTTACAGGCACAGCTTTTGGCACTGAGGTATTTCAATAATCTTTTATTCTAATAGATATTTATATTATTAGAAAATAATAATAATTTAATATTAAATATCATTGATATAATTATATATTAGAAAATATAATGGTTATAATTATTTGTAATAGCAATAAGTCAATAAATTATTAAACGATTTATTTATAATAATAAATTTTCCAATAGATTGATCAGCTTATATCGTACATATTTCAATTCAATTTGTTATTGTAATATGATAAGTAATGATTAAATATAATTTCTTTTAGTTAGGGATATTTTTAATACCGGCAACCAGTATATCATTATTGCTGTTCTCTGGATTTTTCTTGAAATTAAATGAAATGTCGATATATCTGCAACCTTTAAGCTTTGTGAGTTTCTTCAGGTAAAGATAATTTTATATACTACATATCAATTAAAAACTTTTAGCATTTAGGGAAGACTGGAGCTGGTTGTCGTACAAAGACGGGACTGGTTGATTGTCAAAATGCTTATAAACAAGACATGGTAGAAAAATCTCTTTTTTTGACTAAAATGAGACCAGATAGGTGACAATTAATTTTAATATCTTTAGAGAACACATTTTTAGAGAATATACTTACGAATATATTATATTTCATAGATACAACATTTTTTCATTTTTTTATAGAGAAACTACGATACAAAAATATATATTACGTATGTTATGATTAAAATATTTATTTCTATTAATGTCATAATTACTATTATTTTTCAAAATATAGAACTGATATTAAAATAAAAATTGTATTTTTTATATGTTGTCCATAACAAATATGCTACAGCTAATCCTAGAACTGTGACAATCAACCCAGAACACGTTAATTGTTAAATTTTCGCAGCTTCATTTAAAATTAAATAATTTATTTTTACAATATGATGAATTCACGAGTAATATATTTTTTAATTCCTGAACGATATAGATATATTGTAACATATTCATATAATATTTCAAAATCAAGCATTTATTTTTTTTTAAAGTTACTAACCAAAAACTGTAACAACCCCGGTCCCGGTCTTCCCTAAATTTATTATTACTTAAACATAATTTTTCTCATATGAACCATTTTTTAATTTATGATAACTTATCAAGAGTTGTTTCTGCTTATGTGTAAAGACATGTTTTTTATTGTGAATTCTCAACTACTGTATTTTCTAGTATTTATTGTATTTTAAATTTAAAAAACGTAAAATTTTATTGCAGATATGCATTTGAAGGCATAATGCAGGCTGTCTATCTTGATCGACCAAATTTGGTATGCTCGGAAATTTATTGTTACTTACGTTCACCAAATAAGATTCTCTCGATGATGGGCATGCCAGTAATGCCATTTTACATACTTTTGATAGTACTTTGTTGTTGGGTACTCTTTTTACACGTAATCATCTATACTGTATTTTATTGGAAAATTTATCATGCAAAAAGGTGATGAAGTATTTGATTAACATCATCTTAAACAAGAAAATATTTTCAAAATATGTCTTAAAAAATTATCTATTGAGCAAGTTCTTTTTGCAACAATGTGCAGAATGTTAAGAGAAATTATGGCCTTGGTATGTAAAAATTGTATAAATTTTTTGTACCTTGTGTTATATAAATATGATATAATAAACTCAATTATAAAACATATAGAAAATTTATTTTTTATAATACTAATTTACGACAATATAAAGGTTAGCATTTTATATTTATTAAAATAAATTAAACATAATAGTATATAGGTAAACTAATATACTTAGGATATAAGTGAATAATCAATGCATCGACTTAATAAAGTTGTTGAATAATTAGCTCAGAATTTCCATTTAATTAATTTTTTTATATTAATAACAAAATATATGTCTATATAAATATAAAAGTATAGAAAATATAAGTCATTGTAATAACGACGATTATAATAATGATTTATAAGGAACACATAATAAAAGATTTTTTCTACTGATTAATTAATTTTCAAGGATTGAAATAAAGATGATTGTTTTATAATATATTTATTGTTTCAACAATCAGCAGTTTAACTGTTTTTACTATTTTTAAAAAATATATTAAAATAATTATCTCTCTTAATAAACAGTACTTCTGCATTTTAAAATCGTTTCCATTTAATTTGCATCGCTCTTTTATTGAAAGACTGACATAATCCACACTTTTTACTCTCGACGTATTTATCTATTAAAATCTCGAATGAATTAAAATCGTCAGCTGTCAAGCACTGTGACAGACGCAATTGGAATATGATCACTGATATAAATTCAAGTAATGTATCTCTATCTTCAGATAAAAATATTCTACTGATTAATATTACGTTATCAGTATTACGTAGGCTTTATTATCATTTCGCATGAATTACATTTAAATATAAAAATTGAATAAAATATAAAAATAAAATGTCAATATGCACTTTCGTAGTTGTTGAATATATTTATAAATATATTTATAAAGCGATAAAATAATTAGCAAATAATCTCAACTCTGGATTTGAATCCTCTTTAATATGCAATGTATGTACAAACTGTAATACTTACGATCCATACTATAAAGAAGACTCAAAAACAGACTCAAGACACATTTGCAATTAAATTTGTTAGTTAATACTCAATTGTTTACAAATTATATCTTATCACTTTATAAATATATTATTTATGCGTAGCAACAACCGCGAAAACTTATACTGTATATTATACTTATATATATATTCGATTTATTCTATTCCATACAACTATTTTTATCTTTACATTAATAACAATTAAATATAATCATCGCAGTATCCATTAACCAGTATCCATTAACCATAACGTAACATATACATTCCTATCTAGTTTCGATGTTCATCAATATGAACTCGAAGATATACATACATACATACATTTGTCACGTAGTATCCACACAGTCTTATTCATTCGTGATTATTACGAGATAATCAGATAATTGATCAAAGTTGCATACAAAAAGAATATATACCGAGTGCTTAACATTCATGGCACTCTTTTTCTATCATGTATATCACTTTAGATAATTTTAAAATAAAAAGAATGTACAGTCAGACATAACTCTACTTAAAATGTCAAACAGAAGCGTACAAAAAATAATATATCCGTATACTGTGTATGTACATTGTTCCTGATGCACAAGCAATGCTGATAGGAATGTATGAATTTCGTGCTCGCATATTCCTATTGCATATTGCGGGCACAAAAATATGCTCATTTGAATGTAAACTTTTTTGCTCGCAAATTTATCGTGCTCATAGAGTACGATTCGATCTTACAGATGTTGTATCCACATTTAATAGTCCCTATTGTAAATTTTAAGTAGAGAAATGAGCGACTAATAGAAATAATTGTTCATTTTGATAGTTTCCAATATTTTCAATTAATTACTTCATTGTTATGTGATATTTTGAAATTATTTTAATATTTTGAAAGCTATACATTCGGTAAGTGTAGCTTCGAACAAAACTTCTATAAATTCTATAAATTAGAAAATCAAGAGTATAATACATATTTAAATCTTCTAGTCACTTAAATACGTAGTTGGAGCACAAAAAAATCACATTCCAAAGATCCATTATCATCGGTATTATCGATATGATATAAGTTTCCATCGTAATAATAAATATGCGCTGCATCGTGTGATGAGCAATATTGTAGCGAGCGCGATAATATCATTCCAGAATTGATCCCCACTCATAGAGATGTCTGAGAGAAATTTCGAAGGGTATTTATAATGACAGTAAAACTCACCCTTTTCTTTACAGTCTAGAATAGGTCTGTCCAGCCCATAGATAGCTCCGACAAACCTACGGCATTAAATTAACATCGAATAGTATTAACAACATTAAATACTTTATATTTATATAATTTTGAATTAATAAATTTTAGATTAATTTATCATATTATATTAAAT